GGCGGCGCAACTATAACGACATGTGAATAATCCCGCCCACTCTAAAGCGGTACTGAACTACAGTGGAAACGCAAACCGTACCGAGCCGAACCGTGCCACGCAGTGGAAAAGCGCCATTAGTCTTACGTTTATTTTTCAGTTCTTACTGTTTAATTGTTTTTTGCTTTTATATATATACAGTGGGTACGGAAAGTATTCAGACCCCCTTAAATTTTTCACTCTTTGTTATATTGCAGCCATTTGCTAAAATCGTACGATTACTGTTTTTTACTCATTTTTTTATATAAAGCACTTTACTTTTTTTTTTTTTTTTTCCTAAATTAAATTTTAAATTCCAGTTTTATTTTATGGATTGTGTTTAATGGTTAAATTAAATTTTAGCAATCAAAAAGCTTGTCTAATTAATTGAATGATTAAACTTTACAAAAGTTTATAACAAGAAGTTATTAAAAGTTCAAGAAAAAGCTAGAGCTTTTATTTTTCAACTCAAATTCAATTCTTTGTAATTTTTCTGTATTCGTTTTAATAGTTAAATTAAACTTTAGCAATCAAACAGCACCTGCCAAAAGACTAATTAACATTAGTGAATGATGAGAATCTTGGATATCAATGGATATCTGTTGCGGTCCGTGGAAAAATTTTAGAGAAAAACAGTGCAAAAATGTACAAATAAATAAACAGAAAATAAAACAGAAATAAAATGAATTAGATTAAAATAAATAAATAAATAATTTGAATAAAAAATAATAAGATTTAGATTAAAATAAATAAATAATTTGAATAAATAATAATAATAATAATGAGATTAAAATAAATAAATATTTAGAACAGATACATACAATTTCGTTAAAATAAATAAACAATGAGAAAAATAAATAATAACAATTAGAGTAAACTACAGAAATTATTAGAATGATAAACAACTATTTGAATTATAATATCAATAAATTATTACAATAATAACTGATAACAATTGGATTAAAATACATAATTAAACAGATTAAGTTAGGTTAAATTAATTTGGTTAAACAGATTAAATAAATGATTAGGATAATAAATAATAACAATTACACAAAAAATATATTAAATAGATCAAAGTAAATAAATAAAATATTAAAATGAGTATATAATAACCAACTGATAATAATAATAAATATACAAATAAGTAATACTTTTAATAGTCCCAGAGTATTAATGTAGCTATTTTTTAAATAATATTTTTATGCATATCTATAATATGAATTTTCCACAGTACTGGGTTTTTATACGAGATAATATAACGGTATGGCTGCCGTTTAAATTCTAAAATGGTCATATTTGGGGGTCCGTAAATGATTTCCAGCTCTTAACCAGCATTAACCCCTGAATAATGAGTTATACTAGTTAGACTAGTTAAGTCACACACACATGTGTGTCCCTGGAGCACAAAAGCAGTGTTAAGTCGCTGGGGTATATTTGTAGCAATAGCCAACAATACATTGTATGGGTCAAAATTATACATTTTTCTTTTATGCCAAAAATCATTAGGATATTAAGTAAAGATCATGTTCCATGAAGATATTTAGTACATTTCCTACCGTAAATATATCAAAACTTAATTTTTGATTAGTAATATGCATTGCTAAGAACTTCATTTGAACAACTTTAAAGATGATTTTCTCAATATTTAGATTTTTTTGCACCCTCAGATTCCAGATTTTCAAATAGTTGTATCTCAGCCAAATATTGTCCTATCCTAACAAACCATACATCAATGCAACGCTTATCTATTCAGCTTTCAGATGATGCATAAATCTCAATTTCCAAAAATCGACCCTTATGGCAGGTTTTGTGCTCCAGAGTCGTGTTTACATCTGAACATGTGTGTGACGAACACTCGTGAACGCGCGTGACATCCAGCTGTCAGTCAGCGCTGCGCGCGGGGGCGGGAGCGAGCGTCACGGACGCGCACCAGTGGATCGCGCGCGGCTCCGAGCAGGAAGTTTTCTGGATGAATCCGGATCAGCTGCGAGAGCAAGACGCGCGTCTCACCTGCTTCCCGCGGTAGAAGAGCCTCTGCTGCTCCGGCTTCACCTGGAAGATGTCGCGGATCTTGACGCGCAGAGACTCGATCTTCGTGAGGCGCGACAGATCCTCCACCGTCCGCGTCTCTTTGCCGTCGATCGTGCGGATCTGGATCCACATCGTCGCTCCGCGCCAACCGACCGACGAGCGTCAAACACGAGCGAGCGAGCGACGCGCTCCTCTGCGGGGGAAACGCGCGTCTTGCAAACGGGGGTTCACGCCAAGTCTCGCGAGGAGTGGGGAAATCTCGCGAAATGTAAATACGCGGGGGAAAACAGTGCTGTTAAAGAGACAGAGACGCTTAAAAAGCATTCTAAAGCAAGTTTAGAGAAAAACTGTGTAAAAAACAAAACAAAAAAAAGTACAAATAGGATTAATATAAGTGAATAAGAAAATAAATGAGATCAAAATAAATAATTATAAAAAAACAGATTTAAATAAATACATACATTTGAATAATAAATAGCAATTGGATTAAAATAAATGAATTATATTATAAAATGAATTATAGAATGACTAAATAACTCAAATAAAAACGATGGAAAATCTCGCGGGGGGGGGGGGCTTTTAAAGAGACAGAGACACTTTAAAAACATTCTAAAGAGAAGTTTACAGAAAAACAGTGTAAAAAATGTACAAATAAGATTAGTATAAGGGAATAAGAAAATAAATGAGAAAATAATTACAATAAAAAATAACAGATTTACATAATAAATAGCAATTCGATTAAAATAAATGATATTACAAAATTATATATGATCACATAGATTAAATTAAATACATAACTAGAATAAAAAAATAAAAACATGATGGAAAATCTCGTTAAATATAAATACATGGTGAAAACAGTGCTTTTATAGACACTGAACATTTGCTTTAAAATCTTCTGAAGCATATTTTATTGTTATTTGCAATAAAAAAGATTGTATATTGCAATAACTAGATTGTAATACGTGTACTTGATCAACCTTTCCGAGTTGTCTATAAATGCTTAACTATTTTAAACCTTAAACTATTTCAAACAGCCGTTCTTCTCGATTTTATCATTATTTATAATTATTCTTTAGTTATATTAATCATTAAAATAATTATAACTGTATTAAATTAATAGTATATTACTTAATAATTAAATATAAATTAATTATAAAACTTATAAGTTTATATTATTAATAATAATGAACAATTAACTATTATCTTATTAATTTATAATGACTTATTTTCCATACTTATTGTTCATGTCGTTTTTTGAGCTCATATTAATAGAGATTATTACATTTGTCCTTCAGTTTCTTCATTTATCACTGAATTGCTGAAAGGTGTTTAAAAAGAAACGGAGATCATTCGGTGAATAAAAAGCAACATTCATAACCTGCATTGATCTCAGATTCACGAGGAAGGGTTTTGATTTACAACAGCTTCGAACGCGGCTCAGCCAATCAGAATCAAGGACCGGAACTCTCCGTTTTATAAAATCATTTTTAGTATATTAAGTATAAAATTTGTGCGCCATAATAGAGTACACTTATTTTTTTTATCCTGTGCAGGCTTGAAGAGCAGGAAGAAACGTCCAATCAAACGCAGAAATGACCTTTTGTACATTCCAGAAAATCGAACATCGTATAAACAAAAAAACAAGGGCATTAAAAGCAAACAGATTCACTTGATGAACGAGTCAAACAGATTGCGCGGCTCCGCCTGAAGCCTGTAGACGGATCCAGATTGAGGAATGAGAGGAGACTAATCTTCATCCGAGGAATCCCTGTCAAAGTTGTAGGCCATGAAGAGAACGTCAGGTCGAGCGGGGACCAGAGCGTGGCCCGGTTTCACCATCTCAAAGCCCAGAAAGCTGAACGTACGCACCAGTTTCACTAGAAGAGGAACACACACACACGTCAGTGCAGCACACGCGTGACAGACAGAGGTCTGAGCAGAGTCTGACGTACCACGATCGTCCCTGTTCTTATAAAAGCAGACGAACACACTGACGACTTTCAGATGTTCTTCAGCAAACTCCAGCAGAGAGACGAAGCTGGAAACACAGGCAGACACAGACGCTTACAGATTAATACAGTAATCAAGAGCATTAAACTAGATCCGAGACCTTCTGAATGTCTGTTAGATGTCATGGGAGGAACCCAACATTCAGAAGGACTACATCACAGGATCAATGTAGAAAAACCCAATTTATACTGGGATTTTTTTATTTACAATTTTATTAAGGCACATTTCTAGTTATTATTGTACATTTTATTTCAGTATCTCATTTTTATTTTATTGCACCGTTTATTTAATCTATTTCTTATTTATTTGAAAGTCATTTGTATTAGATATCTCTCTATTATTATACATTATGTATTATTATACATTTAAATTCCCATGTTTACCATTAAATATTAAATATTTTACCTAATATCTTATTTATATTGTTTTTGTATTTAAATCTTATATTTCAATTTTAATACTTTTTTTTTTTGTATTATCGAATTTTTATAATTTAAATCTCATTTTTTTTACTATTTATATAATGCAAGTAATACTTTATTTTTATAATATGTATTATTTGACTATTTTTTGGAATATTTTTTATTATTTTTTATCATTTATTTATTTTATACTGGTTTATCTTTAATTTTTCATTTATTTTAATCTTTTATGTATTATCACTTATCTTTTTCTTTTTTCCTCTAAACATTTCCACGGACCCCCAGCGCTCCCAGACCCCTGCTTCAGATGTTGTGGGTGGTTGTCAGGGTGTTGCTATGGTGTCGTGTGTGGTTGCTAGGCGCTCACCTCTCTTTGCTGCCCTCTGGAAACGATTCGCAGGGAATCTCCACGAACAGGCCGGGGCCCCGAAGCACCGCCTCCCATTTGATCGCCCGGGAAACGGTGGGCCGGCTCTGAAAGTGCAGTATCCGGGGGCGACCGGCCCCAGCGGGCTCTTCCGTCACAGTCAACTTCCTGTCCTGTGCAGCCAATCAGAAGACGAGCTGGTTAGGGAGTCTGTCCTGATCATCACTTCATATCTGTGTATGCTTGTGTTCTGTGCTTCTAGAACTCCTGTTGTTTGTGTGTTTGCCTGAATGATGCGTTTCATTTCTGCCGTCCTCAGTTTAGAATAATCATTTACTTCTAATTATTAATGGCTTTTGTTTACATAATATATGTGCGTGTACTGTGTATATTTATTATGTATATATAAATAAACACACATACAGCATATATTTTGAAAATATTTACATGTATATAGATTTATATATTTATATTCTTATATTTTATATTCTATATAAATATATTTAATATATAAACAATTTTTCTGAAATGTATACATGCATGTGTTTGTATTTATATACATAAAAATACACAGTACACGCATATTATGTAAACAAAACTTATTTTGGATGCGATTAATCGTTTGACAGCACTATAAATAACACAGTTAGATAAGAAATGCAACTTTCTAGAAACAAAATATTTTCCAAATACTTTTATATATATTTATTGTATTTTTACAAAAATAAAAAGCACCTAAAATACACTAATTCCTATTATGCACCCCTGTTGTCTGTTCAAACAGGTTTCTAAGTCCTTCCAAAATAACAATGTATTTGACTTTTTCAAAAATTTGAAATAATATAAACTGACATTAAATCGACAATTAAATCACTCTTGCCAAATGAACAGTCTCTGATGTAAGAAAATAGGCCAGATAAATAGTGTGAGAACCTGCTGAGCATGCGGTGTGAGACGTGTGTGTGTTTCTGATCACATGACTGGATACGACACGTCTGACGCACCGCAACACGCCGGCCTGCTGACAGTGTGCTGAAGGTTTGATTTTTAAAACGCAAAACACACTGATGTTTACAGAGATGTGAATGTTTCTGAGAATGCCGAACCCTTCTGAGGGCATTTACATTCTCAGAAGAGCATCTGACACCCGTGTTCTCACTGTCACCCGCTGGACCATGAGGACTCTTTCTGTGTACTGTGTAGTATGTAGTGTGCAGTGTGTAGTGTGTAGGGCGCGGGGTGCAGTGTGCAGTGTGTAGGGCGCGGGGTGCAGTGTGTAGTATGTAGTGTGTAGGGTGCAGGGTGCAGAGTGTAGTAGGGATGCACGATATTATCGGACCGATATCGGAATCAGCCGATAATGACTTTAAATGTAAATCTCAGCATCGGCCCGATATAAATTGTCAAAATTATGTCTTGCCGATAAGAGGAATACGTTAACTCACATGTGCTCAGGGTGTGCTAGCGATTAGATCACGTCAGCAGTGTGGCTCATTCTTGAAGCAAAGTTTTGCCTGAATGGTGATTGGATTCACTGTTTTGGATCGCTGCATTTAAACTGACAATGCACGTACAGAATATCGGCAAAAATCCAATATCGTGCATCCCTAGTGTGTAGTATGTAGTGTGTGGGGTGCAGTGTCCATTGTGTGGGGTGCAGTATGCATTGTGTGGGGTGCAGTATGCAGTGTGCATTGTGTGGGGTGTAGTGTGTAGTATGTAGAGTGCAGTGTACATTGTGTGGGGTGCAGTATGCAGTGTGTAGTTTGCATTGTGTGGGGTGCAGTATGCAGTGTGCATTGTGTGGGGTGCAGGATGCAGTGTGCGTGCAGTGTGTAGTCTGCATTGTGTGGGGTGCAGTATGCAGTGTGCATTGTGTGGGGTGCAGGATGCAGTGTGCATTGTGTGGGGTGCAGTATGTAGAGTGCAGTGTGCATTGTGTGGGGTGTAGTATGCAGTGTGTAGTTTGCAATGTGCATTGTGCGGGGTGCAGTATGCATTGTGTGTAGGATGCAGTGTGCATTGTGTGGGGTGCAGTATGCAGTGTGCATTGTGTAGTGTGCAGTATGCAGTGTGCATTGTGTGGGGTGCAGTATGCAGTGTGCATTGTGTGGGGTGCAGTATGCAGTGTAGGGTGCATTGTGTGGGGTGTAGTATGCAGTATGGTATGCAGTGTGCATTGTGTGGGGTGCAGTATGCAGTGTGTAGGGTGCATTGTGTGGGGTGCAGTATGCAGTGTGCATTGTGTGGGGTGCAGTATGCAGTATGTAGTGTGCAGTGTGGTATGCAGTGTGCAGACACTCACTGAGTACAGCTGCAGCTGCTGCTGCGGTGGTGCCGCTGTGGATGAGTGATCCCGTGCTCCGTTCCCTCGCCCACCTGGGATCTTCAGAGGTGGGTGAGGGGCATCAGGAGCACCACAGAGGCCCTGGACCAGTGGTACTACTACAGCACAGCGACAGACTGAGGAGAACAGAGAAATAAGCCATCACAAGAAACACACAGAAGCGTAATTCATCTGATCTGCACTAGAGGAAGTCAGTCAGCCGTGACGCACTGCTCTATAAGCGTCTTGGACTTATTCAACACCACCACAAGAGCAATTACAGACACACTTTCACAAACATTAGCTATCCTACATTTCAGGGCTTTTAAAACTTTGTCTTTTTCCAAAACGATTTATGTATCATTTAAAGTTATTTATAAAAGGTAAGCAATTTGGTTTGCAAAGAGCCTACTTCTTTGTATGTGTATTGTTCAAATAAAATAAATAATTGCATAATAAAGAAAATGAATGAAAATAAATACACGTTTTTATTAATATTTTACATTTTATTTTAATTTTAGTTAGTAATTTTATGTCTTCTCATCATTTTTATTAGCTTTTTTTTTTATATGTTTATATAGTCTAATTTTATTTCAAATTTAGATTTTTTAGTACAAAAAGTTGAGAAATGCTTCCTTGAAAACTAGCTGAAATAAAATACTTTATCATTCTATTTCATTTCATGTAACATTTTTTTGTAGTTTTTGGTTTTAGTTTCATTTACTGATAATAACCCTGGTGACAGAAACTAAATATTTTACAAATTGCATATGCATTTATAAAATTAGAGTTTTTTGTTTTGTTTTTATTAAAAAAGCACACTATTTCAGTTCACAGATTATGTTTATACAACTGTTACGTTTATTAATTTACCGTTTAACGCTTTTATAACGAGTAATAAAGTCATAAAAGATCAATCGGTATTAACAGACGTCACTGTTGCATAACAATAAATGAACTACTTCCGGTCATTAGGGAACGCGTTATTGTGACATTAACGTTACTTTATAACGACATTAAATTTTAATACACACTAGAACAAAACCAAGCATTCTTTTTACAACAAATTCAACGCGGTCACGGACATAATGTAATCTAATTTCAAAACACAACGCTATAAAATAAAACACAGTATAGAATATCCAACACAAATATTTAATCACTAAAAACACGCGGCGCGATCAAAGGCACGAGGCGGGTGACGTCATGACGGCTTCTGTGACGTGCGTGTGAAAACGAGGCCTGCGACGTCAAAGCGCACAACAACGCGACTTTATAACGAAATCAACACAATAAGAGCGTTAATCATTCCGTGAAAAGCGAAAATAGTTATATATCGCTGAGTGTAAAATGAGAGAATAATCAGGTGTGTGGATGTGAATTTAAAGGGCCACATCTGTTTAGGCCACAGATGCTAGCAGATGATTTCATTCAGATGGATTAAAGTGTAACACCTTAGCATCACACGGATAACAAATCAGTGTTTCCAACACCTTTAAAACCATAAACATAGTATGTGCTGCGTGTTAGTTGACAAAAACTGCTGTCGCAGATGTTGAACGCGATGAAAAAACAGCTGCTAATATTAGCATTAGCCTCTCAGGCCCTGTGAGAAAATAACTCGCAATTAAAAGTCTCCGCACGTTCATTAAAACCAGCATCCCGCTCTATTATGACTTTATATAGTTATATGAAGACTGTTCTGCTGATGTAAACGGTTAAATGTGTGTGAACGAGCTGTTACAGGGCTCTCACCTTCCCATCACGTCGTTAATACTGTTACTGAACGCCTCCATGATGCTGCTAGTTTCACACGGTTTATTTCCTTCTTTCTCACGGGCAAAGCAATGACTGTTTAGGATCCGCTGGAGGTTGGATTTTACCATCCGGCCTCGGGAGAGTTCACGGCGGCCTGTGTGCGCTCGTCTGCAGTCGGCAGAAAGTGAGGAGCGCGGAGGCGGAGACGCGACAAAAACAGCATCCGCGCTACTACGGCGAAGGCGCTGCTCATGGATATATGTCGAGCCGTGATGGCGGCCGGCCGGTCACGTGGTTGATTAATATTCAAAAGGTAACGGTTGTAGCGAATCGGCTCGGTCGAATGAACCAACGCGCGCTTGCGTCATTAATATTCATGAGCTGATCCTTCGCTATAGTACGCGTGGTCGCTCGCGTTTGTTGAGCGAGTGGAAAATTACTGAGAAGAAGCGACTCTAGTTTTACTTTCGAGTCTGCTTTCGAGTCTGAATGTGTTATGATGTTTTGACACCTTATTTACGTACATTTGAGACAGTGAAGGTCATGTTATTGACAGAGAAAGTTTAGAGAAGATTCATCTTTAAATACAAGTTCAAAATACAAATATATATATAGTTATTAAATTGAATTGTATATTTTATTACCTTATTAATATTGGTAACACGTTCTTTTAAGGTGTCCTTGTTACACGTTACATGTGCTTACTATTATAATAACAATAAATTATGCATAATTATGCAAGTAACCCTAACCATATATTAAGTACATGCAGTTACTCAGTACTTATATGTATAATTACACTTTAACAAATAAGGTGTGACCTTAATATTTATTAAATGTAATAATGTCAGTTATTGTTATTTATTCACTCACTCACTCAATGCAACGTTCTGGTGTTGTGTCACGTGACGTCTTTGTATTTATTTTAGATAATTTTTAATTAATTATTCATTCATTTAGTGTGGGACTGTGTGTGCAAACTATAATAATGCACACATAATTTTATGTTTTTTTTTTTTATTTAAACAATAATTAATACAGAACATTGCAGACCACAAAATGCCAAGGGGTAAAATCCAAGGGTTCACACCTAGTTAAACATAGGCTTCACAATGCATGTCAATTAATTGATTAATTAATTAATTAACCTAACAAAGATAAGCAGATATCAAGAGAAAATAATATATATATAGGCCTATAATTTTGTTTTCTTTATTTCTACTTATCTTTGTTTGGTTTATATAATTATTTGTTTATTTATTTATTATATTTATTTATTTACAGGACGTAGACACAGTTTTAAAATAGATCCAAATACATTTTTAATGCTCAAAATACGATGACGCGATTCCACAGTTATTAACATCGGAGAAAAGTTTTTTTTATAATTCCATTTTTTTTTTATTAATACACATTTATGACATTATATAGTGTTATAAATATATATAAATAAACACATAAGTATACATGTGTTTCTTCTCCATATTTTGGCCTCTTTGATCAAGTGAAGGAGCGCTGTCTCTGCGCATGCGCAGTTGTTCTGTGCGCACTGGAGTCAGTCTGCAGCATCTCACACGAGCAGCAGATGTCAGTGTAACACAGAGAGCTTATGAGCAGTGCTGATGAGATGAGATCAAAGCAGGGCATGTTGAACCATGTCACGCAGCAGCATCAAACCGAAGAGCTCACATCACTGTTAATGCTCACTTCATGCCAGAATTGTCTGATAGACAGAGACACGTTACTGTAGCTCCAGTAAATCAAGCTCACAAACACAATCACACATTCATACGAGATCAGACTCAGTGTCTCCTGTTTAGAGCAGTCTCATATGTGGCCTTTATGTGTTTAATAACAGCATATCTTCATCTTTATGAGGTTAGATGATGTTCATATATCTCACGGTTCAGTTTTATACGTCTACACTCTTAGAAATAAAGCTATAGATGGAGTTAAATAGAGGTTAAACTACAAACACCTGGTTTGTCCCCCTGTTGTATTTTTCACTTTTTTTCCCGCCAAGGTTCAACTTTGTTCAAAATGGCTCAGTTTGTAATGACAAAGTTATATTTTGCATAAACTAGGGATTTTTTTGATGGCGGTGATTGAGTTTGGAGAATGTATCCGAATCATATAAAAACTGAAAAATTAATGAGATTGTTAGCCTACTTCTCTTTGATTTTTAATTGTAATATTAAAAAAAAAAAAAAAAAAAAAAAGTAATATTTACTTTAAGAAATAAATAATTAAAAGAAAAAGAAAATTTAATGAAAATAATGATTAAATAAATAAAAAAATATACCGTATTTTAAAGTTTTACTTTTCAGATAGCTCTTTAGCAAAATTTAGCAAAAAAAAAAAAAAGTATATACTTTATATAATACTTTAGTTAATAAAATTGTGTATCTAGATTTTTTGCTAAAATATTTAGGCAAGATTTATGTTTTTTGAATTTGACAAGCATATAACATTTCCATGCAGTTGGACTACAGTTTTAACATAAACTAATAAACGTGATGTGATGCATATTTGTCAGTCATAAATAAATGAAACAGGTCAGATTTCTGTAATAATCTGAATGTTTAAAACACCATGACCAGCTTTACATATTTATCATCAATAAATCAAATTTTGAGAGCAGAAATCTTTGAGGCTGAGAAATATGCATCATATTAAGTTTACTTATGTTAAAACTTTGTGATCCAAATTTTATATGCAATTCAAATATATAAATCCTAATTATAGAACAGAGAGTTCCGGTCCTTGATTCTGATTGGCTGAGCCGCGTTGGAAGCTGTTGTAAATGACTCTACAAAGTAACATACACCTTTGTTTACTTCTGTGTGTTGCTCGGCAACCACTTTGTTGCAACCACAACTGTTTCTGAGGAGCTACATTGTTTGGTGGAAGAATACTGTTTTTATTAATATCATTACACTTTATTTGCTCTGTTTTATTTTGTGAAACCTAACTACGTATATG